AAAGATAATCAAGATGAAAAATATCTTTTTGTCGAAAAAGGTATGTACGTGCATACGCACAGTAAGCACGCACGTATTACGTATCACCAACGCAATATCCAGGTATTCTATTTCGTACGCGTGCGTACGTACATACGTATCAGTATCAGGTTTATAACTGATAAAATGTAAGATATCAGATATAGGAAATAAAAACGCCTCCGTTACAGAAAGCAAAGTTATAGCAGATAGCAGTGGAAATCGAAATTCATGTGTCAGAATTACAGTAAATCAATAGGCTACAACAGTAAGGCCTACCTGTCTCGTTATCGCATCAACCAAAAAGAAATAGAAATGTTTATTCTTTTTGATGCTTTTGGTTATTTGTTTTGAATCACTTATTCAATTACTGATATCAAGCCGGTATTTGGTTTCACAAGAGGAAAAAGGCTTTTCTTTGTTTGATTATGGGATTACTGTTAAATTTATTAATTTGTCTCACGCGAATTCAAAAGATTTATAATAATTGGAATGGACCAACGCCCTAGTTGCGAAAAGGTTAGAACGAGACCATATTAGAATGACAGAGATTTTGCATACTTATTTACTTATGTAATATTGATACGCCATGTCGTTAATAGTTCAAAATTCGCATGATTAGATATTTATAATATATATATTTCAATTTCAAATATAACAAAAATGAGTATTACAAGTTAATATACATGCAGAAACATGAAGAAAGCGGAAACTATAAAAAACTATGATATATAGCAATAAAAAAAAAACTATAAAAACTATGATATATAGCAATAAAAAAAAAAAAAAGAAAAAGATATATAGTAATGATAATAATATAGCAATAAAAAAAAAAAACCAGCATATAATAGCAATAAAAAAAACTATAACATATAGCAACAATTTTGAAAAAGTGTTGATGAGCTAGCTATACATACTGTTACAGAAATAATGAAAAAGAAATAATAATTCAATTCCTAACATTTCTCCCATGACTGATGTTAGTCATATGAATAGATGCGTCTCATTCGTTTTTGACTGTCTTCGTTCATACGTTGAGTAACCTCTTTCATGATCCCGATCCCTCGAATTTTCATTCTTTGGCACCAATCTTTACGTTCTTTCGCAGGCAACTTTTTATATTCCTTATAAGCCTTCTTAATTTGTTTCACTGAATAGGCTTTCACTATGAATGACCCTCTTCTCTTGGCCCATTTTTGTTGTGGGACATACGGAAGACCGAGTAAAACACAGGATGGGACACCCATTTCACTATCGATTCGATAGTCGCTTAAAAGATGAGATTTGAAGAAATTTAAATCATTATGTAAATTTATTAATTTCAGTAATTTATGATGTTTATTTGATGAACTTACCTAATAGTAATTTTATCTAAACAATTGACACAGCACCTAATGCATGATTATTAGATTTAGAACAGAATAATACAGTAATAATATAATTAATTAATGATAAAAATTACCTCACTCTAAAAGCCCAGTATACTTTTCTGACTCTAGGTTGACCACAAATCATACAGCCACGTTCGACAAACAATTTGCAATATTCTTTTTCGGTCATACCTTCAGGCGGATCCAATTTCAAATCACTTAAAAATCCTTTTCTTGAATCCTTCCAAATTTTAGTAGTGATCGAAGAATCAGGTGAATTTAAGTACATCGCAAATTGTCTACAAACTTTTGAAAGAGAAAGTAAAGTTTGCGGATCGCAGAAATAAAAGATGTTAATAAATAATTCGGGAGGAAAAGAGAGGATCGGATGTCGTTTAGAAGATTTCCATTTCTTGATTCTTGGACGAGAATTTTTTTTCTTTCTTCGTTTAGGAGGATTATTGGTCTCATCGATCTCGTAGGTCGAAATAGATTCTTTGGAATTCGATGAATGAATTTTATTATTTTATTTTATTTATTTTTCCTTTTTTTTTTATTAAAAAAAAATCATTTAAACAAACCCATGGTCGTGTGAGAAGACTTTGGACTATGAGAAGTAGTTCTTTTCATTGGAATTGTTTTTTTAGGAATTGTTTTTTTAGGAACCGATTTTTTAAGAACTGATTTTTTAGGAACTGATTTTTTGGATGATTTTTTAGGAATAACGTCGGTTGAAGAAGACTCTAATAAAATTCGAAAAAACAAATAATATTATTTTCTTTTAAATAGAGACAGGTAAACAATTAGGCCAATTCTACAAACAAACCCATGATTGGAGAAGAAAGAAAAAGAATCGATTTTTCACACTATCCTTTTTTCTTGATATTTGTG